AATCGTTTGCCGCGTGGGGGTAATGGACTGGCACTCTGTCAGCGAGTACTCAGGCCCTCCGAGGCTTGAGGTTGCAGGACTTCTGGTTGAAAAACCAGGTCCAAGGTTCAGGGTTTTGTGTCTAGATTTGCACAATCTTATTTAGGGGCTAGGCTTCAGGGTTCAGGGTTCAGCGCTGAGACTTGGGCGGAATGCTAAGGGCTTTTGTGGACTTGTGGGCTCCTCTTGGCGGACGTTCTCCAGGACCATTCTGAGAATTATCGGGGCTTCTGAAACGACTGGTCCAAGTTTGGGAGATCCTTGTACTCAAGATGCGGATACATCAACAGTGCAGGGCAGTTTGAGTTTTTAGATACCTGGAAGGGTGAAGGTGGCATTGGGATTTACGAGGCTCTAGGATTCGGGCGTCAAATTTTCTTCGCTCGCGCGAGGGACTAAGCGCTTCTTGACTAAGGGCCCGCGATGGAGGGGGAGCTTCCATGCTGTTGTAGTCCGAAATTAAGCTGAGGGATGCGGACACGTTTGACGAAGGTGTTGTTAGATGTCGCTGGCAGTGGCACGAGGAACGTCACCTAGGACCAAAATTCCTTCACAAAGCCGCATGTACCCTACTCCTCAAAACGAGTTTAAGCTGTAGCTTACGTGGTAGTTCGCATACGGCGCTATGCACGGTCCATCACGGTCCATAGTCCCACAATTCTGGACAATCTTGGAGACCTCAAAGAAAGGCAGGACCCTGCCCACCACCTGCAGCTGCAGTGGACGCGAACCACAGCACCGCCAAACAGGCGTGGAAGGGGCTCAGCGAGGGAGACATGGCTCGGGCTTGGACTGTTCAACGATCAATCTCAGAGCTTCAGGAGTGGTTCGGGTAAGGTAAGTCGCGGATTGAGCTCACGTTTTGCAGCGTGTCAGATCAAGATGTTTGTCTGGGCTATTCTTAGCTTGGGTTTACCCATAGCTGGCCGAATGTTTCAAAAGCCACATTTTTTCTCTCTTTTTCCTTCTGCGCCTGTAGCGGCTGGGACAAGCGTTGATGATCATCTACGAAACACAGCTTAGAATTTCATGGCAAGGGTCTTGCGCAAACATACCTGAATGTAGCCAGGTTCTGATCCAGTTCTGATGTTTTGGGCGAAGCGAAAGGAGATGAGGAACAACAAGCTACCCACAGTTCTGATGTCGCGTGTGGAAAGCTCCCATCCGGAGCTCTGCATAGAATTCCAGGAGCCTGAACAGGCTACTCGGACCCGGCCAGTGCGGTTTAGGGTTTAGAGGGTTTTAGGGTTTAGGTTTAGGATTTAGGGCAGCCGTTTGGCAATCTCAATCCTCAGACCTCGAAGGGAACCTAACGCAAGGGAAGGTGCTTTGGGGCATGTTAAACTCTACAGGACTGAAAAGAGAATAATCTTGGTAGTTTGTCAGGCTTCTATCTCATACACCTCCAGGACTCTGACTGCGGGAATATGGTTTGCAGGATTTTGCGCAACTACTAGGACCAAGAATTATGTGTAAATGCGTAGGGTAGGGACCTAGGCTGGCTAAGGCGAGGCTAGTTCCTTCTCTGGACAAGACAGCCACGTTCTCCTACGGTTTTCGCTGCTTTTTTGCTGGAAACCATGTTGACATCTAGGCGTGGTCTTTACAGGAATGTCGCGCATAATTCTTCATTCCCTTAGTTCAGGTGTCTTGATTCGTTACAGCAAGAGTAGGCGCGAAGCTTCGAGAATCGGTAGCGTCACGCACCTGGGGCTTGGAGCCCCCTCAGACAGTAACGACCCTCAGTAATCAGCGGATATTCCATGGTCCTTCTTTTGATCTGATCAACTTTGGGAATCCTCGGGAAGTGAGGCCACGGAGCATTCTCATTGTTCTCATGTGCGGCTGAAATCTGCCACAGTATGACAACCATTGATGGACCTTTGATTGGTCTATCTAGGGTCTCTTGGAGAAGCATGAGATGTCTACCCAGCCTTGGAAGTCGCAAATGCTATGTATATGGATTGATCACTTCAAGAAAGGAAGTCACTAATATCTGAAAATGGTAGTTTCCCAAAATGAGGGAACCCCAACATAGACCCCAAAATACTATAATCCTTATTATAGGGGCCCCAAAAAGGTACCCCTAATTATGGGAAAACCCCAAATACACCTAGAGTGAAGCTACGAGAGAGCGAGGGATGATCCTGGCAGTTTCTCTTCGTATTGGCGTACCCATACCCTGGTGCCATACACCCATCCAAGCGCAATGCTCTGCGCGAACTGCTTGTATCGGTTCTCCACCTCCTGGCATTGGGAGATGATTCGGGGTGAGCCTCAAGGCTGCAAATTTCTTGTCTTTCGCACATATGCTTCAGTCTGTCCAGGCTTCTTTGTTGAGTAATGGCTTGTCCTCGTGGCAGAAGCTTTGATTAATCTGGTTAATCAGTTGGAAACTTAGCCTGCGTCCATGAGCCTGGGACTGCACCTTCAAACATATTGAGGTTTCTTGTCATCCTGGCAATGAGAGACTCCATAGGAGCTGACGTGATGAGCTGTGGGGCTTTTCTGCACTCAAAAGCAAGCCAACAGCAGGCCTCTCACTCGGAATCATACTCCAAACTGCTTCCTATTAGGACCGACTGGCTAGACTCCAACGTGCTAATATGTTGGGAACCTGACTACAGGCCCATCTAAAATTGCACACGAAAAAAAGGCAATTAACCCATGCGATATCAGCTAAGAACCCCACACCTCAGGCTGATGCCGGACACTTTTCAAGCCCTCTTTGCCTTTCCATAGACAAACATGCGCCCCATGTAGACCTCCTTTGAGGGGCAGCAGGTCTTATGTATGGCCTCTTTTGGAGTTCCATGTTTTTGCAACGCAGACCTCTGCAGCCTCAACCCTCACTTGAAGTGCGCAGCTGGAAAGCCAGTCAAGGCTTCTTTTGACCCTCGCCAAACTCCAGCAACATGTGGCTGTCAAGATTTAGAGATGCGAGTTGAACCTGGTTTGGGGTTTAGAGTGATTTATTACTCTGTATATGCATATCAACCCCCGCATACCATACGTCCCACTGTTCTAGATGCGCTCCCAGTTTAGTGATTAATGCGCACCGCAGAACCAATGTGATCCCATCGCGGCTTCGGTTGTCAGTTCATCGGTTGCGGTGGTAACACAAGCATGGCAGGGTCTTTCTAATGATCGCTGTGGCAGAGCGGGTTGTGTTGTGGCCTTCTGAAATTCAAGCTTTATGTGCCATCTTCACCTGTCATTTTGTGAATACATCAGGGGAAGCGCATGCAAGTCCACAGCTTGAAAAGCAGTCGCTCAGGATAGCTTACTACTAGCTGATCATTCCCTTTGCTTATATAGTGCCAGCGAATTCTTCCCTTGCTGGCCCCTGGTTTCTGGGCTTACTTAGCAGAGCAGCAAGGAAGACAAGGAGGAGAGGCTCCATCCATAAGAGAACTACACACCCTTTATCTGATTTTCGTGAGGTTTCCCGAAACTCTTGTGTGGGACTACCTATGATTCGTGTGACATTTTGAAGGCTGTAGGGCAAGGGCTTGATCTAAACCGCCCAAAGCCAGGCTCAGCTCTCGCGTGAATCGATCTCAGCACGTCAGTTGCACGCTCCTCGCCTGGAGGACAACTTAAATTCTGGACTTTACTTTTTGGGGTCGTGAGTGCTTGGGTAACCTCAGAGATCCTAGCAGCTTGCCAGGCTAACTAGCTGTAAGTGGGGCTGCAGGCAGCGGCATTTTAGTCCGCAAAGCACATTTTGTTCCGACCGCTTTCTCGAGCTTCATATGATCTACATTTGATTTCGCCCCTAAGCACCTGAAGTGAATAAGTTGTGTTTTTTGTTGTTTTTGCATCAAATAAGCTTACAAGCATTCAGATTGTGAAGCACCATACTATACCCGAAGGAGGGTATGGTCTTGATACATATCATGGCTTCAAACTGGAACCTGGAGCTGCATACTTCTTACAGGGCAAAACAACGTCTTCCAGACCCTGAAGCTGAGACTCCAAACCCTAAACCCCAAGCCCATCCCAAAAGCAAAAGCCAGCCATCTGCGACGAGGGAGCCCATGGTTTTCATGACAGCGATGGGAGCGCTGCGGCAGCAATGCACTGGCCAACAGCCTCTGCTGTAGAGGCTCATGCATCCAAGTTTGGAAGCCCTGCAGAAAGCTAGATTCTGCTTCGCTATCGGATTTTGTATACACTGGGCCTGTGCGTGCCATCTCAAGACCGCCAAGGTCATAGGGTGCAGTGCCATTGAAGATAGAAATAAATGTGGGGCTTAGCAAGTTCTCAGACTTCAGGGTCAGGTGAGATCTTGGAAAGCGATTACAAGGTGTAGATTCCAGCCTGACTTTGAGAACCAAACCGCTTTAATTGCTTTTGGTCAGCGTTGACGGAGTTTACGTAAGGGGCATGAATGAAACAATCGCGCCAAGTGCGCGCTATCACTCTGTTCAGATAGCCCTACCAGCCTATACCCCAAATACGCCCTAAACCCTACAACCTAAACCCTACAACCCCTGCACGGACCTGTTTGGTTTGAGGATCCCATTGTTTGGGACTGAAATCGCAAGGCCTCACATTGCAAAATTCGTCCCGCGGGGCTGGAATAAATTGCAGCTGGCTAGAGGTCTATGGTAAGAGAAGGTGAGCTGCATTTCCTGCGGTTTGCAGTTTTTGCAGAGCTTGGAAGGCTGGCGTTTTGAGCGGGGTTGGGTAAGGGGGCATGGGACCTGGACGTGAATCACTCAAGCCTGTCAAGCTCTAGGCTGGGCAAAGAACTGGTCTTAGGCTCAATTCCAGATAATCATCATTCGTCAGCCTTAAACAGGAAGGTGGCCTAGTGTAGTAGAAGTGAAGGTGCCCCAGACAAACAAATTCCGCGAGTAGTTGCCGTGTGGGGACACTGGTCTCATAGATCTTACAACCTTTCTCATGCATGGAACAAAATTGAGGCTTGGGCCTCGAGAATCGGACTAGTATTATCAAGCCTGCCATGTAAAAAGAACAGCTGAAGAACACAAACACCAGCTGCAAAGCCACCATATGCCTAAAATGACCCGATGTACAGGATTCCGGTCCCGAGGACATAAGGATCCCGCCTTGAAGTGATCGTCTGCGGTATGGAATTGAATTCCAGCAAACTCGGGGAACTCCGTTTGAAGAACCTGCCAGCGATGAGTTAGCTATCCATGATCACCCCCAGGGCACGGAGCCATAGAATCCTGGAAGGACAGAACCTCCATAAACTCCAAACCCCAAACCCTAATATAAACCCTATATAACCCCAGTTTCCATTTCATTTTCCATTTTCTTTTCCATTTGATTCTCCATTATTGGGTACCCCCATAGTATCCCCCAAATAAAATATTCAGGACAGAAGCTGAATCTAAGAGGCCAAGTCTAAGGGCTCTGCGAGGATTGCATCTGCGCGACAGGCACCCAAACTTCGACCCGAAGTGTTTTTATAATGCGGAGATATAAGATAATGGCATACATTCCCTGATTGCCATTGTTCACCTGCTCACATGGCCCGGTATGAACATCTCTGTGAGACACATCCGCCCGCCATTTTTCCCCTGCCACATACACTACCCGAGATGACTCAATGGGAAGGATCAGATTCTTTGCGCAGCGTGTCTTATGTCGCAGTCGAAAGCATAACGCTAAGAATTATGCACTCCTGCCCCTCAACCTCAAGTTTGTGGAGTCTAGGTTGCCCATGTGGGTCTTTCCCTCTGAAGTTCTGAGGTGTTTTGGCAAGGATCGGTCATGATTGTTTTTAAAAGACAGGCAGGTGAACAAACCCCTTGCATCACAGGATCTGTGCTACAATGACACTTCCCAAATCCCACAGCTTGGGATCCTCCTTTGCGGTGTTGAGCATGATGTCGCCACCTGGTATGCGTGGCTTCAGCAATGCGTGGACAATTACTGTATACATCTGTGCCCAAACATTGTGCGCCTGAGTCGTACTGTATAATGTTAGCAGCGATTTAGTTGTCGCGGAGGGCTTTGGTGGCTGCAGCGGTGCTGGCGGCAGCAGATCTGGTGGGTCTTGCTGGATGTGGAGGCGGTTTGGAAAGTGTGCCAAGTTGGCGGTGCTAAACGGAGCTGCGATTCGCCGATCAAAACGGTGAGGTGTGAGGAATATAGAAAAGTCTGAGTCAAGGCACCTGCTCCTTTGCTTACTCTGCCCAAAATCATCACGTGATCGATCTTGTAGAACTCGCTGTACCTTGAGTTTCTGCAACTTAAGGCTCAGGTTTATATGTTACGGAGGTGAGCTGCGTAATGTTTTCTCACATACCCTATTTGAAAATGATGCCTACGCATCTACTCTGGAAGCTTGATGGTATCTGTTAAACTTCGGGTTCTAAGGGCACGTGGGCAATATGTGAGTCTCCAGAAGTTGGGGGCCCCATGATGCACCCTATGTATGCATGTATGTTTGTATGCATGTGTGCATGTAATTCTTTTTGTAGGGACCTATTCTTGGAAACCGCAATCCCTATATATGAGTGTCCATTTCAGCCCTCATGCTCTTTCCCAGTATTGCTTGGCGTAGCAAAGGGAGGTGGCACTGAAACCGATGTGATAACTGCTAATCTGGAAAGGAGACCGGTGTTCTGGCATGTGCCCACAAACCCTAAATCCTCAACCCTACACCCACAACCTAGAAGATGCTTCCGCGCATTCGGGTTTAGATTACAAGGTTACGTCCCTAACTGCTGGGAGGGGCTGGGAGATTTCCCAATCCGAACCCGGTTCTGTTCGTTATAACAAGCAGAGCCAAAGCCTCGATTCAGAAGGACAGAGCAAACATGATGTCGTCACTGAGCTATGACGAAAGAAGAGAGCGTACAGCACCAGTGTTCTGATGACCTTCCCAGCCTTAACTTTCCATCCTCATCATGGGACGGCCGCAATGGGAGCTAGAAGAGATCCGGAACATTCCCACAAAAATCCCGCAAAAACTCCATAGAGCACCTGATGTAAACCTTATCCGAGAGGCTGAGCCAGAGCGTATCCCAGGTACACGCCAATGGTCCTATAGAGCTTCTCCACCTGACTGAGGATTCATGATCATGAGGGTTGGGGTTGCCAAAGTCCCCTCATTAAAACCGTACATGCCTCAATACCTGTATATATATATATACAGCATCAGCATATACACATACATATGTTAATGCCTATGTAGCCCCTACAACCCCCTTTCAAGGCGCTCTTGAGCCCTTCTTTGGTCCTGACCCTTCAGGACGTGAAGAATCAATTCGAAAAGAACGTTGAACATGAAATGGAAACTGGGATTATATAGGGATGATAGGGATTACTATAATGAAGGCCAAGCCCAGCTCAACAAGATACGAGCCAGGCAAGGCAGCACTATCTTCGACCTTGACGGCCTAGAAAAACCTAGAGGCCACCCCCAAAACTAATAACAAGCCCTGGTACCCATGGTTACTTGCTTCTCCAACTCTAAAAGGTGCGGACTTTCCGAACCTAAAAACAATTTTGCGACCATTGATGAAACCACCACAAGCAATGGCGGATGCAGGAATTACAAGTACGTGTGCTGGGCTCGAGACTTCAGGTGCTTGAGTTTGGCTACCTCTTGGTATCACTCTTGGTATATATACATGAACATGAACATAAGCATATATTATATACATACGCATCTATTGCGATAGGCAGCCCTGGCAGAGTTAAAGTGGTTGTTGTGGTTGTCCGTTTTAAAGAAGCCAAACTGTCCTGCCCTTCTTTTGAGCAACCTCATGCGGCCTCACGGACTATACAACCTCTGTAAAACCTCCCACGAGTATCCCCATACATGCATCACCTTGACATCTTGATAGGGGCCCGGCGCCCTGCGTAGTCTTGGAGAGTCCCCAGATCTATCCAAAGAGCCATACAAAGCTTCATGCTTCACTTCACATCCCTTACCCTCTAACACAATGATAGGCCCCATCATCGTCATGCGGCTTTAGAGGCTAAGCCCCTAACCTTATGTAACCTTGATTTTGCCGCCATTGTTGCAAGCGTTCCTAGGACGGCCTGATAAATCCCATGCAAGCCCCCTTTTCTCGAAGCTTCTCTAAGTCGGCTTTAGCTCTAACTCAGGCATCTGTGACAGGAGCCGCTGGGCTAATGACGCTTGACCGCCCGATTCGCAGGCAGCCAGCCCTGTGCTGAAGCCTTCGCTGCAAGCATGAATGAAGACGTTCTAAGAATAGTAATCATAGAACTCGTGCTAGTAGTATAAAGGTATTAGTTGTACTCGCGATTAGACTAGTAAGAGAAATCGCTATCACAGCACAAAGAAGGATACAAGCAAATACGGGACAGTCCATAATCTGGGATTTGCTTGTTCCCTGCAAATTTGGGTTTCATTAGGGTTTAGCGATTTGCGATTTCAGAGTTTAGGAACTGAGGCATTGCGAGTCCTGACTGGATCTGAAGCGCGCTCCCTGTGCAAAGGATTCCAGTGTGGAAGTTCTGCGGCGGAGCCAGCCATCCCGTAACCGAGCCAAGACGTGGAACAGAAACATAGACAAACAGAATCCCATCATCATCTTGAACATACAAGGAGAAGGTTCTCGAACTTGGTCTACCAAAATGATCCGCAAATGAACACACGAAAGAAGAAACGCTCCTGGCCGCCAAAAAATCACGTAGCGCCACAAGCACATAGAACGGACATGAAGTCCTTACGCGATGCTGAGCATCACAGGTTGCAAGGCCTTCAACACTAGAGGGACGAAGGAAATGAGAACGCTCAACAGCGAGAAGCTGATGATGTCCAGCGCAATCTGGCACGTCATCATCTCGAAGAACAGGAGCAACGCTAGGTCCCAGTGACCTGCCGCAGCCAATCATTGCCAAAGCTGCAAAGGGCTGAAAAGCACTGTACTGTCTGCCAACGCCATCCTGCTATCCACGCATGAGCACCCGAGACAAAAACCAGGACCAGACTCAATATTGCATCTGATAGTATAGGTATCTTTTGTAGAGGAGATGGGCATGTGTGTCAGCTGTGCAAAGCAAACCAACATTAGATCTAGGTTTTGAGATTGCACTGTCCGGCTTTTGTTGCGTCATATGGCACCTCCCAAGCCCCTTACATCGAAGGCTGCTGCTGCAAGTCTTGATATTAGGGGGATTTAGGGGGTGGGTGGCTGGGGGGCATTCAGGGGGAAGAGGGAGAAGGGATTGCAAGGCCTGAATTCCCGCAAGCACTCATGACCGCGTTGTAGCTGACAGTGTTCGGACTTACCTTGGCGGGCTCAGGTCACGGGGAAGGCTTAGGCAAACAACGGAGCCGAACTAATTTTGATTTCCCGGCCTAAGACTTCAATAACTCTGCTGTAATGAAGTAAGCTTACCCAAAACCGTACAAGTCAGAGCTGCTAGGCCTTTCTTAGACGCCCCCTGAAACCCTCTCTTGACCATGATCGCTAATCCAGCGTCAATACCTGACTTGCGTTGGATCTCATAGTGACTACACAGAAATAGAGCAAACTTTCGGCCGGACGGAATAATGGAGCAAACATTTGTCCCGGATGGAATAATGACAAGGCAGCAACGGAAGAATTCCCCCAGGACCCGCCCCCAAACAACTTTTCCTAGACTTAATTGGGAGACCCCTTCTTACGTAGAATCGTTCTTTGTTTGTGCTCGGGAAGTGCTTTATAATCAGAATCCCACCTTACACGCACCATAGCAGTGGGTTGTACAGTAATGGCCATGCGGCATTGGCCTCTGGCATCTGGGACAGGAGATCCAAAGCCAGCTGCCACTGGCTCCCCCGCTCACATGCGCTGATTCCGGCGCTGCAGCTGACTACATTGGGGCTGATCCTTGCTTTCCGCTGTCCCATGGGAATAGAGGACTTAACTTCAAGACATGCAGAACCTAGCTGGACCATTGCTGGAAAGAATTGCGTTCGCCTATTCTCGTAATATAGAATAGAAGCTCTTTGGTTATGCGCGAGCCGAGAATCCGGGACTCTTGCATTAGCAGCAGAAGTTCGACTGCAGTCTGCCAGTGCTGGCCCGCGTCTGCTCTGCTGCAAGCGCTAAGTCCAGCACTGCAACTAATGACGTTAAGTTCTGTTCTGGCCGCCATCATATCTGAGATCAGTTGAAGAGCTGCCTGCCATTGTCCGCGCTTGTCACAGGCACTAATGCAAGCGTTGTAGCTGACCTAGGCTGCTTTCTGGGCTCTGCGGGTGCCTCTTGTGATGGCTACTCCAAGGGCCTTCTCTTTTTTAGCTACATCTTCACCTGCAAGCGATTTCCAAAGATTTCCAAAGCAGGTCCAGACACGGCGTTGGCTGAAATCTTTGCTACGGACATCTGCGCGAGCAACTCCAAAGCCAGCTGCCATTCACCCGCCTTCTCGCAAGCAGTGATGCTTGCACTGAAGCTAATGACATCGGGCTGCATGTCGTCCTGGAGCATGTTTCGAAGCATGTCCACTGCCAATTCCCACTGCCCACCTTGCTGGCAGGCGCTGATGCTTGCCTTGCGCATTTTTACTTCGCAGGTTCAGGTTGAAAACTGCAAATTCTAAACAACCGATACTTCTGATGAGCCCGAACGAAGACTGCTGTGAATTCTGACCAGGTGGCATTGAAGCTGATGACGTCTGGCTCCATACGGAGCGCGGCCATCTTTGAGAAAAGACCAAGTGCCAGCTTTTGCTGGCCTCCCTTTTCCTCACTTACTGGGGCTTAGCAGAGAATAACGGAATATTTTCTCTACCAACCACCAGTGAGCTTACTACTTGGAAGGTTCGCTAGGGACTCGCAGGGGGGCTATCAGCTAGCACAATCCGCCCCAGAACAAGGTTCAGCAGCGAGTGCAATGCCCAAGGAAGGGGTAGAAGCAAGTGAGACAACCAAAGGAAACATACCATACCTGTGGGGTCCCAAGTCTCGCAAGCGCTGATGCATGCATTGAAGGAGATGTTATTGGCACCTGTGCGGTTCCGCGGCATATCTTGGAGCAGCTGCAGTGCTAGCTGCCAACATTCTCCTTTTTCACATGCGCTGATCGCAGCCTTAGACATTCAAGGCTTATTGGGTGCCGCTCTTCCTGTCTGGCGCGTACTGTAAAGGAATGGAAAAAGCTGAGTGACCATGAGGTCTGATCGGAAACTTACCCAGCTCAGGACAGGCTAGCAGCAGTTTGGCTGATTTCGTTTGCAACCACCGTAGCTGCAGGCATTTGCGAGAGCACGCTCAGAGCCATCTGCCAATGACCGCACTTTTCCTCGGTTGGATTCGGAAGTGTTGAAGGTACAGGGGACAGATTTTGGTGGGTACTCAATCAGGGAGGAAAGCAAGGCTTGCTTTGAGAACGGCCCAGTCTCGCATGCACTGATGCTCGCGTTATAGGTGATCACGTCTCCTACAAGCCTGGCAGTAGGCAGCTCAGACAACAGCTGAAGTGCCCTGTCCCACTGACCACCCTTCTCACAGGCGCTGATGGCAGCGTTAAAGCTGATAGTGTTGGCTGAGATTCTTGACTCAAGCATCTCTGACAACAGTATCAGGGCAACTTGCCACTGTCTACCCTTTGCACATGCGCTGATGCAGGCATTGTAACTTACAGCATCGGCTTGAAGACGCACAGTGAGAACCTGCAACAACAGGCCAAGTGCAACCTGCCACTGTCCAGCTTTCTCCTGAGTTCGCTGCTTGGGGCTTAGGTACGTGTAGTGTCCACAGCCACCGCCACCACAGCCAGGCTTGTAACACCTACCTACAACCCAAAGCAAAAGCTTGATAGAAATTGAATATGAAAGTATGCTTGTAGGCGGCTGAGTCTCGCAGGCGCTGATGCCTGCATTGTAGCTGATAACATCTGCACCAGTGCGGTTCAACTGGATCTGTGACCTCGGGGGAAAAGGATCCTGTTCAAGTAGATACTGTAATCCCTTCCCCTGACGATCAACGACGTCCAAACCCCTCCCCTGACTAAAAGCCCGACCCAAATACTTATTGTTGGGAGCAGGTTATTGTAAGGGAGTATAGGGTGGGCATTTGGCTTCCATTATGTATCTAGTGGGTTACAAGCAACTGAACCCAGTTAGAATCGTCATAAAACCAATTAGCATCTGATCCAATTCATACCTAATTCAAACCTCTTTAAATTCAAAATCTAATTGAATCCGGAACGAAACCAACTGACGTTTACTTAAGGCCTGGATAAAATCAATTGAAATCTATTGACTTGAAACCCTAGTAAGCTCAATAAAAATATACTCACGATCCCATTTTGAAGTCTGATTAAAATCAAATGAAAGCTACCTGAAATCTGTTCCAAGCCCTCTTAGAAGCCGCATTTGAATTCTATTAAGCAATCCTTCATAAAAAAAAGGAAACTTTGAACGATAAAGCCCAAGAAATGAAGGGGATCTCTGATTTACAACCCCTAATATGTTCAGAACCCACCCCCGCAGGAATTCCGTATTGCGGGGAACGCTTTAAAAAGTAGTCTAGGCGCTTTTAAAAATCTTGGAGTTTCTGGAATCGAGGATTTCTGGAGGAAGTCTTTTGTTCAAGGGAGGGGAGAGGGGGGTATCATTGGGGGGAAGCGAGTTGAATGTAGCATTCCTGCTTTGTAGCCCAGATCATAGACCTCTTTAGGCCAACTGCAAGGCTTGCGCTTTGCATGGTTCTTCACAGCTTAAAGTGTGTGTAGAGCTGTAATGCGAGTTTGAACATTTCGGTGTACAGTAGTCTCATCAGGCCCCTGCGTAAATCCTACGATATGAGGGTTTGCAGCTGCTCATATGAGGAATGCCCAAGCCCTAATGCAGAGGTTCCCCAGCAAATCTGGCATTCGGAGCCCTTGAACTACCTCAAGCCGCCACGACTGAACTTGGTGAAGTAGACTGTTGGGACCTACAGTTGATGACAAATTTTTTTACTGAGCGTCTTGTCGACTGCAGTGGTGCTCGGTATGAAACTGCACTTCATAGTAGCAATAGCCGAGTGCAAAAACACGAGTATTGACACGCAGAGAAAGCTTACTGCAGAACGGGAGGGAAACGATAATTGGCAACATCCATCAACGCATGATGAATACAGGACAATGATTAGGCCATAAGTGCATCAAAAGGGCAAAAGCTGGAGGGCTGATTGCCAGGCCCCACCCTTCTCACACGCACTGATGCACGCATTGGCACTGATGCGATTTGGTGTGACCTTCCCGAAGGCTTTTCATGTTACGGCTGCTGTAGGCTGGGGACTGTCAACACGTTTAGGACACAAATCTCTTGAAAGACCCATCCCCTGGTTTGAACATCCTTCCTGGAACTGGAGCACACAGGCACTTGATACTAAGGGCAAATGGTTTCAACTTCCTGTGGTTGAAGAACACAAGCCTTTTCCCTGGACATCTGTGCCAAGAGATGTACAGCGCGATTCCAGTGCCCAGCTTTCTCACAAGCAGAGATGCTTGAACTCCAGGTGATGACATCAGCCGTGAGGCAGGAATCCCTTGACAGCACCTGCTGTAAGAGCTGCAGTGCCCAGGGCCACTGTTGGCCTCGACCGCATGCACTGATGGCCGTGTTGAAGCTTACCAAGCTTGGGGTTACCTCGGACAGTGGCATGTCAGCCAAGAGGTGCAAGGCCATCTGCCACTGCCCGGCCCTCTCACAAGCACCGATCCCAGCATTGAAGCTTATCACATCTGCTTGGGAGGTCATGTTCCTCAGCTCAGCCAGCAGCATGAGTGAAGCCTGCCAATGCTCAGAACTTCCACACGCAGTGATGCTGGAGTTGTATGTGATGACATTGGCCGCAAGCTGTGCAGTCTTGCTGTCCGAGAAAAGGTCAAGCGCCCTCTGCCACTGTCCTCTCTTCCGGCAGGCATTGATGCCAGTGTTGTAGCTAATGATATCTGCCTCCACTTGCGAAGTCAACATCGCTGAGAGCAACCCTATGGCCTGTTCCCACTGCTGACCCTTCTCACAGGCGCTGATGCCAGCATTGAAGCTAACAACATCCAATCGAATTCCTGCGGCTGGCATCGCAGAGAGCGAGTGAAGCCCCAGCTGCCACTGACCTCGCAGCATTCTGGAAGTGTTCCGATCTCAAAGGGTTTAGTATGCAAATAGTACGGTAATACTAGGGCAAAAGAACATGGAAACTACTATGGTACATAATTCAGTACACTTCGAGTGTAATGTAACAAAACTAGGAATTAGGGAAACTCGAGATATTAACGAATTTCCAACACCGTACAGTATGTTGCATAGGTGTGGCAGGTAGGGACTGCGCACGCAACAAAGAAAACCTTCACATAGCGACTCTGCAAGAAACTTCGAAATGTTGGCCCCCTGTTGTTAACTAAATTTCAGATTCACTCCCATACTTTCAAATACTACACTAAACCTTCTCGACAAAACTTGCCCAAGTGACGCGCAGCTGCGTAGCAACTGATTGTATGGTTGATGGTTTGCTGCGAAGGGTTCTGCCTAACATCGAAGCCGGCTGATACCTGGGCATCTTTCCTCAAAATGTGTTTAATGAGTGGCACAGAGGCCCATGGAGTTAAAGATCTATTTTGCTACAACACCATTGAAGAAGCCGACCCGGACACTGCCGGAATCGGCCTTTAAAAAATAGCGTGTTTGTTCTTGACCTTTTCTTTCTCTTCATTTCTCTTCGAAAATACTCGACTTTCTTGTGGTGAGGCGCAAGCAACGGAAACCTTGCACTTCACAGGCTCGAGACATCATACGGGTCAAAAGCTGAGCCGGAATTAAGAGGGCAGCTGAAAAGAGAAGACAGCACAACATGAGGAGGAGGAAAGAAACCAACAAAAGAAACAAGTGATTAACAGCCGGCACAAAGCTTCACTCATCGCACCGTGGCCATGTGCTCACCGAAAGGCCGCCAAGGCACGCTGGGTGGTAGTAAAGTAGTATGTAATGACTGCAGTTCTGAGCGGTAGCATCTCTGTTATCATTGTCATACGGTATACCCACTGCATCGCGTGTTTGGCAGGTTTGCATGTCAAACTGCTGTGCACCAAGCCCAAGAACTCCACACGCAAGACCTGTGGGCAGAATGGAATGTAGCTTCGATAGCGGCCATAGAAGCCAAAAAATCCAATAGATGAAGGAACAGCAATTCATAGACCGAGCGAGCCATAATGGAAAAAAGCAGTGTGCAAACAGCTTTGTAACAAGAGTCCGCCATCTTTCATCCAGGTCTAGTTGGTTCCTCACGCACGTGCTAGAGCAGGACAGATAACTCCGCAAGCGGGCCCCAAGGCCACATGACATAGGTGTTTCTACAAATTAAGGTTCTTCTCAGGCAGTTCCCTCCTGGATAGTTGGACTCGAGAAGCCCACAAAGGTGCCCCCTACTTCCAAGAACGCCCCTTGTAAACAGCAATCGAAAAGCGCGCGTCGGCTTCCACATTTCATATGAAGTCTACAGTCCACTTAGAACCCCTTCAAGTCCTTGTCGCCAAGATTGTCCATTCTCTTTTCCATCTGATTCTCCATTACAAGCAGATAATAGGGGATGATTCTATCTACTTCAGGGGGACCATAAACCCTAAATCTGCCTGAGGTCGCACGGAGGGATCCTCCATGGCCTTCTGGATCAGCTTCAGGCACCTTTCGAGCCGCTGAGGGGGTTCACCAAGAACTGTAAGGCCATGATTAGTTCCAGGTTTACTATAGGGTAAGTTTGGGGGGGCCCCTATAAACATGAAGTTCTTATGGCTTTATAAGAGTTATACAGGAATTAAGGGTGACAAAAGTTGAGAATAATCTCCATCCAAACGTACCTTGGCTTGCGGTGTACTTTGGCAAGGGAGCTTGAGGATTACTGTAGACCCGAGTACGAAAGCCATGGAAATTCCGTTCCTCTGATCTACCATCTTTTAAGGGACAGGGTTGATACTCTCTGCAAAACAGAATGTCAAGAATTTACAGTAGATATCAATGAGGATGATCTGCTTCAAGACAGGAAGAGCTAAAGCGACTCTACAAGAGAAGGGTCTGGGAACATGACCGCAACTCCTCCTGTGCTTTTTTTGTCGCGTGACTCTCTTTTAAACCCCCAGACCATAAAGAGTACGAGACACGACTGCCTGGATGATTGATGAAAACAGTCACAGCTCTGCATGGTGAAGACCTTCCTGCCCAATTCAGGTCTTTTGCCCACACACGCTACTCTCATCACTGCAAAAATTTGAAAAACATATGATGTGTGGCCTCCTCTGGCATGCAGGTTTAAAGAACACACATTTCTTCAGACTTTGGGTGGAAGCAGCTTGAGCAAAAATTTAGCCTGCAAACCTTTGCAACTATGCTTGCACCAAGCGTCTGAGCATGATCTTCATGCTTGATGGTGCCTTAGGCCAACACAGAGAATCGACAAATTTGTGGTATTTATTGACAAAGATCACACTCTCCTGTGTATTTCAGCTTGTACCAGTACAATCAGTGCCATTTAGCCTCTACTTGTAATTCATAACAGCCCTCCGTCGAAAGATCTTGTAGGCAAAAACGGGTCAATTGGTGAGCCAGGCTGCACATGTCAGGATGCGGATAGACGTAGTTTGGCGGCACCTTGACGCCGGCCTGCTTTAAGCTGCTTTGATCAGAGACTGGCTTTGGCGAATCCCACGCGCATGCACAAGGTCCTTGTGCGTTTGAGCTTGGGGCGAGAGGCGGAGCAAAGAGGGCTACAGAGTCGCAGCATCGGAAAGGAAAGCAGCCCTGGCCCCTGCAGTTTATGGGAATTCTGGCAAGGTGTTGGAGGACCCTTGCTCATGAACCGGACAGAAGGCCTTGGCTGCTAACTTTGTCGCACCCCGCTGACCAAGGTACCTGGACTTGGGCCAATTTGGGCGAAAAAAGAGAAAGCATCCCTGGAGGGGCAGCTACAGCACAAAGAGTACTAAGTGACGATAGAGCAATTACAGTTTTCTGACATAAGACATTGAAACCAGCAACAACAAATCTGGATCATCCCAGCCCAAGCTGGGTGCAAAGCCGTTGCACCTCCATCTATAGGTAGGCATATTACAGCAAGTAGTGTTATCCATAAGGGTATGTAGCTCTAAGAGACTTTATAACATATCCACAGGTTACGGCTTGGGTTGTCCCTACCTAGTTGTTATTCACTCTGCACCAGACACACTTCTCTGCAAGGCTGTAACATTTATGGAGGACTCCAAATGAATATGGGCTCAGCTGAACTCCGGGATTCCTTCTGACTCGTTGCCCTTAGGTTCAGAGCTCATGCAACTGAGGCTATTTGAATCCCCTATCCTGGGTTGCTGTTAAGGCACTTAATTTAGGTTACGACCTTGGGGAAACCATACTAATTACTATATATCTATACCCATTATGGTAACGTAATTTACATTTCCTAAGTGGGATCACCATATTAAGTACGATATACCTATATATATATACCATTATGGTAACTTAATTTAAGTTCCTTAACAGCAACCCAGGTTTCTTTTCATGCTTCTCAGGTTGGTCGTTGTGAAGGGAAGCTGCAAAGCACTATGACACGGCAGGACAACGCTGTCCGCATGGCAAGGACTCCCCCAAAACCTAAATTTCCCAACATTAGGGTGACCTTTTTGGGGGTCCCTATAAAAAGGACTATAGTATTTTGGGGTCTATATTGGGTCCCCCTATGTAGGGAAACTACAATTTGGTCATTTGGGTAGGGCTTAGTGCTTACAGAGCTTCATGCAAAACAGGTTCCTTCGACTAGGATCCCTTATACAGTACCACCCAAAAAATCAAGACAGCTGCTTATAACAACCAGAACCTTACAATAGGATCCATGTTGGAAAAGCGTGAGAGCAAGCGCTTGAAGCGACTTTATAGACCTGAAGCCCCTGGAGTTGGGCGCATGTGGGAGACGCCGGTGTGGGCGCCCTTCGTCCAAGGGTCGGTGGGCGCCTGCCACTGGACTGTTTCAGGTTTCCAATAAATCAGGCGGGATCGCCAGAGCGTTGTAGGGACACATATGAGTAGCGGCAGAAGATTTTCTGTGCAGCTATTGCCAGGGATGACGTCTGGTCCTGCTAGGGAAATGGTTGTGTCTCCAGGTCACCGCGCACAAGCCAAAGGTGCTTTGTCACGAGTCACTTTTCAAATTTCGACGTCTCTCTTGCTGTACATTTGACCATCTTCACACACATGGCTGGGATGTATGTTGTCTGCTCGGGGGTCACTGCAACAACGCGATGACATTCGACCGCAATTCCGAGCGAACGGTTGGAATCTTCGGGATCGGGGTAAGACTTTGCTTCAACATGTTACATATTGCGAATTCAAGCTAAGCAGTTCCTGAACGGCAGTCCAGTTCGGGCCTTAACAGAATCTAGCGCTCCAAGTGTCCGCAGTTATCCAAGGCGCTCACAGGAGTTGGGCTCTTCGGTGCTACTTACCTGACTTTCAATTCAAGTGCCAGCAGGAGCCCCATGGGAACCCCATCTGCTGCTGCCTCTGGATTCAAGTCCAGCTTCACGTAGCACAGCCTGGGATTCATGGGCACTTGGTTTCAATGCTTGTGGATCAGAAAATAGGATTCTGCAAGCTACCCGGCTCAAGCAACAATGTTTGGCCCAAGACCTCCGTCCTGATACGAACTGAATAATTACGCTGGCCACTCGCGGACAATAGAGCAAAATTTATCATGCTTCATCAATTTGATTGCTCATGCTTCGCTGAAACGAAATCATTCGTAGCTGACACTCGTTAAAGAGTTCAAACCTTCCGGGGGCGCTGTCAAGCATACACGATGGCATGGTCCTTTGCACTGCATACCCATACTTGCTGCAGGGCGTCTCATTGATCCACCCCATCAGGTTGCCATCCTCAGCGGAAAGAGTGCAGCATGCAATATGGAAGTGGGTTTCCCCAATACAGTAACTTAACTTAAGCTCCTTAAATCCCTATATTCCCCCAGTTTCCACTTCATTTTCCATTTTCTTTTCCATTTGATTCTCCATTAACCCAATAAATCCCCAATATTATACCCTATATAGCCCATTATAGTAGTTTCCATTTTATTTTCCATTATCCCAATATAACTTAATTTAAGTTCCTTAATAGCGAAATCTCTCGATTTCAGCGCTAGCCACCCAGGCTCCTCCTCACCTTTTCAGGCCTTCGCTGTTGTTCAAAATTCCTTGAAAACGGCTAGACCTCACAGGGTTTAGGGGTTTAGGGTTGTAGGGTTTAGGGTTTGGGGGTTTAGGGTTTAGGGTTTAGGGTATTGCCTAGCCAGGCTCCCAAGACGAGTTTGAGAGATGAGCTTGCCAAAGTGCATCTTAGAAATAACTGACATTTCGGTCCCAAATAATCAGCACTAAATCTTGAGCTCGTACAGCTGGGCAGGAATACGTAGAAGGCAGCTCTCTTAACAGGCTACAGTTTTTGGACATGAAAAAAGAGTTGGGCCTTAATATTGGATATTATGGTATATCATAGTACATTATACTAAATTCTGGGATTTCTATAATCCACTATTGTCCCTGAATCTAGACACAATGCTTGCCAGGGCCCGGCGTTCATGCGAGCCAAGTCTGTTCAAACCCCTGACCCCCTATCCTCAAGTTACCATATTCTGGGTATATAGTAAAGAGTACGGTTTGCTTCTTGTAGTAACTTAAGTTAAGTTCCTTAACAGCAACCCGGTGGTGCCAATCGAGTCTCCAAACTGCCATTCTCAGGAAACCATCACGAGGAACCCTGAATGTCATCCCTAACAACCTGGAAACCCTTTGTCCGCCCCAACATTATTCCCTACAGGGAACCCAAGCGGTTTAGGAATTCACAAAATTGGCTCCCTTCTTCTGGCCCAAGTATTTTGATATTTGAAGCCTTAGCACAATGGCTCCAAAAAGGGGGCCCTAATTTTTGGAACCCCTGGACCCCTAGTTGTCCCTTTATGCGCGTAAAAAAAAGTAATATAAGCGCCAGACATCCCTTCACCTGACTGTGGGAACCTCCAAACTTACTGGCCATTTCCAGGGAATGGAGGAACGGATCCCTAACTGTTCCAATATCACCCCTGAATAGCTCGTATCGCCCACCCATTCTTGCATGCCGTGCTAACCACTAGCGGGCCACTTGCTAGCTGAGCATCAGCGTTTGCGTAGCCGCCACCTTCGCTAGAGCCCATCGAGATGCCCATCACCTTTTCTGAATGATTTAGGGTTTAGGGGTTCAGGGGTTTAGGTATAGGGTTTAGGGTAAAATGTACAAGGCTTGGAGTTTTGAGCTCATTCGGGCCTAGCTAGGGACTGGGATTTACATCCACTCTTGAGTTGAAACATGTGAACCCGTTGACATCTGCAGCCCTCTCATTCGCTAGATTAAAAAAAATCACTTCCTCTGGTAGCTCCTACATAATATACGGCGGCCGTCGTATGACACTTCGTAGCGGAAGAATCAGGTTCAACATTAGAGGAAGCCGCACTCATACTCGTGCTCCTAGCCACCAGGCCAAACCATGATATCCCCCTCCCTTGCAAACATGGAAGCTCATGAATGGCCTTTTCAAAGGGAGGAATAGCAGTTGCAAGCCAGGTCCCAAAAGGAGGACACTTGCGCCAATCATCACCAGTAGAGTAGAGCTTGGAATGCAACAGCTGGAACGGAAGAGCAGCCAAATGTTGCGGGGTAGGTGTGTTTACCAGAAAATCGCTGGAAAGCTCAAAGTCCTGTCCCGAAACCAGGTAAGCCGCACAATCCTCCGCAGGTGGAGGCGCGAAACCCTTTAGAGCAAGTAATCCTAAGAGCCTGCGACTGGACTTTTCTGCGACACTTCTACCACCCTGAAGGCTCAACCCCTGAAGTCCATATGATATATATGGTCACCCCCCCCCCCTAGAACTACCCAGAGCACTGTAAACTGTAAATAGCGGTGTTTTCTAGCATTTTTTGCAATATCCAATTCTGATATTATTTTAGGGTACTGCTAAACTAAATGTAAAGTATATGAAAGACTAGAATATATCAAAAAACCAACACACACAAAAACCAAACACACAAAAAACACAAAATACCAAACATCCAAAAACAACAAAACACCAAAACTTTTGAGGAGAAGTGGATTCCAGTCAATTTTTGCGTGTTTCTTTTTTTTTGTTGTTTTTTGGTATTTTTGTCTTTTGTATGTTTTTTTTTATTATCATTTTTTTGCATTTTTTTGGTTTTGGGTGTAATAAAAAAGAGATCTAGCGTAGTACATACTCATACAGCAGTAGGCTCTACACAGTAAACCAAAAACCAAAAAAATACCAAAACACCAAAAACAAAACTTTTGACTGGAATCCACTTCTCCTAAACATTTTGTTGTTTTTTTTTGTTGTTTTTTTTTGTATTTTTGTTTTTTTGTTTTGTTTTTCTGGTATTTTGGTTCCTAGTCTTTTTCATTAGGTTGTTTTTTAACTAACAACACTACCTACCATATTTTCCTGCTCTGAATAATCCAGGGGTAAGGGGTGCCTTCACTCATAAATCATATTTCCTTCGTGTACTCGTCTATGCTCTGATTAGGCTGTTTTTTTCTGTGGGAATAAACCCACATTATTTGCATATATTCCTAAACTATTTTGAATACGAACCCACAACCAAAGCCAAGAATGTGCTAATACCAATATT